CCACTTAAAAGCAAGATCATAAACACATTTCTGACAAGTCAGAACTCTTTATAAGTTTATGATGTGAATACTGATTTTTGTTTTAAAACAAGTTCCAGGCATTAAGAGAAACATGTATATACCTCTCAAATAAACATGTGAATGTCTATAAACGTTTTCCTTTGAGGTTTTCATTACTTTTGGACTTAGTTATTTGGAGAAAAAATAATATATGACTACAAGCTTTGGAAAAGATACATTTCTAATGAAATGGAGCATCAAGAAATAAAATAAAGGGCCGGGGATTTAGCTCAGTGGTTTCACCGCCTGCTGCACAAGCTCAAGGACCCAAGTTCGATCCCCAGTACCAAAAAAAAAAAAAAGAAAATAAAAAGATAATTTATTAAATCCATACAAATTTCAAATCTTTCTAAATTTAAAACTAGATAGCTTCCCTAAAGTTAAATTTTACTAAGATTGTACCATTGTAACTTATTTAGATGATCATGGTCACTTTTCAAGTCCTTTGCATAAAAATGGTGTTAAACCGAGTGCTACATCTGGCACCTCTTTAAATAATAAACTGCTAACTATTAACTTTAACAAAGAGTCTGAAAAACTCTGTCCCAAAATGAATTCTATTATTACATGTGTTCTCTACTAAATAAAAACTCAATTTAGGAGACAGAACTGTAATTTATGTGTTTTCTACACATTTATTCATAATTGTTATTATTTTTTGGATTTCATTGAAAACTCCATAAACTGGGGCCCAAAGTACAGGTAATATGGTTTGGAGAGAAGCACAAATAAGACATTCTACTTAAAAGACAAATTATTTTCCTGTGTAGTAATAAGAAAAAAACATTATACATTGTCTTCACTTAATAAATGGAATGTGTTTATAAGTTTTATAACAAGTGAATCCCTTCTCGTTATCTAAGTCAAATCAGAAAAAGCAACTGTAGGATATGCCTTTTCTTGTTTTGTTTTTTGAGACAGGGTCTCACTATGTAGTTCAGGCTGGCTGTGAACTCAATGTGTAGCCCAGGCTTGAACTCACAGTGATCCTACTGCCTCAGCCTCCCAAGTGCTGGGATTACAGGTGTGCGCCGCCACACCCAGGTTATATACCTTTAATAAGAAATAAATATTGGCACTGCATTTTTCTGCATCTACTTTAAATTTTGATTTTTTTTTCCCTTTCTATATACTGAGCAATTTTCCATTCAACTGCATCTTAGGACTTCTGAATTATATATATATTAACATTCCAGTTAAAGATTTCATTAAAAGAGCAAGCTCAGAAGCAACTCTTTTATACTAAAAATAAAATCACTTGTGCCAATTTTTAAAAAATAGCTAATGATTTGGATTCTGATTCTAAATAAAACATGTTTACATTTTAACTGAGAAGAATCTGTCTTTGCACTCAAAAGGTTGAGGCAGGAGGATCATAAATTTGAGGACAGCCTGGGCTCCACAGTGAGTTCAAGGCCAATATGGGCTACATAATGAGGCCCTGTCAGAGAAGGGAGAGGGAGAAGGGGAGGGATAAGGAGAAGGGAAGGGGGAGGAGGGAGAGTGGGAGGGAGGGAGGGAAGGGAAGGGGGAAGAGGGAGAGTGGGAGGGAGGGAGGGAAGGAGAGAGGGAGAGGGAGAGAGGAGGAGAGGGGAGAGAGGAAGAGAGAGGAGGAGAGAGACAGAGACAGACAGGGAAAGGAAAAATCCTCCAAGAAATGTCATTACAAATTTAATAACCGTTACCTTAAAAATCAGTAAGTATTCAAGGAAATAAGAAAATTTATAGCTGTATTTTTAAACATAAACTCCAAACCAAGAGGTAATGTAGAAAGTTGTTGTATTTTAAATTAATCTTTTATTCCAAAATTAAACCCTCAATTGACTTAACACAGAATGGCAAAAATTATGGGAAGCTTATGATGTTATCTCTCATGTGTCTTAATGCAACAGACACCTTCTTTTAAAAGTAGTGGTATTGGGCCGGGGATTTAGCTCAGTGGTTTCGTCGCCTGCTGCGCAAGCAGAAGGACCCGAGTTCGATATCCGGTACCAAAAAAACAAACACAGAAACAAATAAAAGTAGTGGTATTTCCCGTGAACAAATAGGTAACTTCATTACTCATCAGTAGGCCTCTGAAGAACCACTGCAACTAAATTTCAACATGATTGTCTGGAAGTTAATTTTAATTTCTTTTCTGTAGTTACATTTAGATGTAATACTTGATTCTTATAGTCTATAATAAGGGATATTGAATTTTTTTGTAGATAGGAAATATGAAATGGTTAATTATATCCAGGCTGGTAACAAGTTCATTCATGCATTAAATGGCAACATAAGCAGAAGGCATAGTTGAAAAATGAAGATCAGACACATTCTTCTGCAGACATCAGAAGAGGATTGATATACTCAAAACCTTCAAATTCAGATTGATCAATCTTCCTCACAATATCACTGTTGAAAGAAAAATAAATTTATTTTCATCACAATCAAGATTTCTTCAACCTTTAATGGTAAATAAGATTAAAAATTTAAAACAGAGCTAATTATATACATTCTGAAAAAGAAATCTACAAATTCTTAGATCAATCCCAAAATATTTTCCCTAGAAGAATCAAGAAGAGTACTAGAAAAAAAAAAATCAATCCCATAAACAAACTTATAATTCAAAACTAACTGGGAATAAAAATGGCACAAGTTATCACAATTCCAGTCAACCTGAACTTTTGACCTGAATAACATTCTTAATTAAGGTGAACATCCAGGTCTGATTAGTATCCAGTTTAGTAGTCACCTCAATAGCCAGATGGAAGATGGTGAAGAGAAGACCCAGAAGAAGTTAGCCAAAGGGAAAAGGCATTAGGAACAAGTACACTGAGAGACCTGGAATAAGGAGAAAACATCACAGGGAGATAATGGAGCACAGCAAGGGAGAGGCAACATTCTGTTACACTGGGCTTTTAGTTTAGTGTACCATAAGAGAAGTCCTAGCAAACATTTTAATACTTAGGTGTACATACCATACTGTAGAACTCAAAGTTTCAGAGCTAGAACCCCTTAATTAGGGAGGCAGGTAACTGATACACTGGAAAGCCATGAAGGAAAGCAGTGTCTGCTAGATTTCACACATGACAAGCAAAGTCCTGTTTAAACACAATTCTAAAAAGAGGGTGACTTCTAGTTGGAGAAATCAAGGAAACCAGCGTTCACTCTACAAACACTGAATGAATGGAATAATGAATGTGGTAAGCCTGGGAAAATGCAAGTAATTATTAGCATTGAAGCATAGTAATAGAAGCATGTTAAATAGGAAAGTAATGGCTAAAGAAGCCAGAAATGTTTATATTAAATATGCCTCAATCCATCAAAATCTGGTTGCATTTGAGGTGACTGTGAAAGATGGGAAGAGTTCAATAGGTAAAAACGATGGAGGAATAGAGGCAAAAGCAGGGATAGGCAGGGAGAGAATGATACTGAAGGGGAAGGTGAGTAACAAGACTGATCAGAATCCCGCTTGCTAGAGTGAGAGATACAGCTACAGAGTTAGGCTGGTTGGAGCAGATGGGGTAGGTTTTAAATGCTAGTAGCTAAGAGGAGCGGTATTATGTGATAGGCAATGCAGATGCTAATGAAGGTTTCTGATTAAAGGGACTAAATTATTAGAGTGGTACTTCATGAAGTGCATAGAACAGGCTGCATAGTAAAGGGGTGAAGGCGATCAATTAGGGAGCTGATTAATACTCTTGGTATGATGGCACTGGAACTAGGGTTCCAACAGAATGAGACAACAGAACGAGAAAGGTGGCTCTGATGCAAGTGATAAAGTAAAAAAAAAGAGACTAGGATTTGCTAAGTGGTGGTGTTATGTAATATCCTAAGGAAAAAGGCAACAACCACTGATATTTTGAATCCAAATGAGAGAAATACATAGTGACACAATGAGTAGAAGTAGGTAAATAACACTGAACTGATTGAAAACAATAGAAAAAGAGATCATAAAGATCATTATTTTGACTTCATACTTTCATATATTTGAGGTATTTGACAAAGTGGGTGAGATATTGAACAGATGAAAATGCAGTTCAGGAGAGATATCAGGGCAGGGGCTAGATGCTCCAGAAACCATCACTCACTTACTGTTCACAGGAACTTTGTGAGGTTGACAAGGAGAACAAACAGGCTCAGAGAAGTTAAACAATTCATATCCAAGATACCCAGTTGGTAAGGGGTGGCATCGGAATTCAAACTCCTATCTCTTGATTAAATCCAGTGTTCTTTTTAATATAAAATGCTATCAGGAATAATGACTTGGCATGTATCTCTCTTCTAGTAGACAGCAAGCTTTCTGCAAGAATGGACTATTTTGATCCTCTGAATTTTGAGTACTTAGCATAATACCTTTTGCTTAATAACCATTTGCCAATTTAGCTAGGTGTTATTGAAGTAGCTAGTGTTCATGTTATGGGACTAGTTCACATCTCCAAGGTACAAATTTTGCATATAGCAAAGAGAAGGCTGTCATTCATGAACAGAACCATGGAATATCCTGGTCTCAAGGGGAAAGGGGAAAAAAAATAAAGCTCAGGATGAAATAGAGTCAGGATGGGCAGTTCTACTAAAGGCAAGGCCTTTAGTGAGTGTGAAATGCTTTACAGACATCAGGGAAGATAAGGACTAACAAAAAGTGCCTTATAAAATTAAGAAGTCAGTTTGACCTTTAACAGCTGAAGGATAAGGTTAAACTGTAAGGGTAAACATGTTTGCAGGAAGAAAGAGCAAAACAATCAATGCTGACTTCTGTAAAGAAGTTTAATAGGGATATGCTTATATATTTTTACCATAAATACCCTTTAAGTATTTTTTAATGCTTAAAAACTAAAAGAAAATGAGAAAAAAAATGTGGTGGTTCAAAGAGGAGCTAAGCTGAGCATGGTGGTTCATGCCTGTAATTCCAGCACTCAAGAGGCTGAAGCAGGAGGATTCCAAGTTCGAGGACAGCCTGGGCTATATGGGAAGACTCTGTCTCAAAACAAACAAAAACAACAAAAAAATGAAACAAAAACAAAGAGAGGCTAAAACTTAGGGGAAAAAACATCAGGCTAAGTATGCTTGTAGTAGAGGAAAAGAAGCTGGAAAAAATAAATCAAAGATGGTGAGTGAAGCAGCTGGGCACAGTGGAACACGCCTGTGATCCCAGCACTCGGGAGGCTAAGGCAGGAGAATCGCCATGAGTTCAAGTCCAGCCTGACCTACGTAGTGAGACTCTATCTCAGACAGACAGACAGGCAGGCAGACAGACAAAAGATGGTGAAGCAACAAAATGAAATCCCAAAGGAAACTAAAGAAATGAGTCCAGGAAAATTAAGAGGGCTATCCCTTCCCAAAAAGGGAGAGCCTTCTCAGAGTAGGGACAAGAAAAAGGTTGGGAAGAGTTAGAGAGCAATCCTGAAATACAAGGCAGCCTGGAGACAGCTGCCAAGGAGACAAGCTCACATAGCCTGAGGTCTCAATCCTCACAGCAGAGCTAAGGCAAGGTTAACCCACTAGGAGAGATGGAGGCAGGGGTCAGACTGAGGCTGCTAAAACACAGAGACCGCTTGGAACAGCTGCTGGGAAGAATGTGATCAGAATTAAGATATGTAAAATGACTGCCAGATAATAAAGGCCTCCTTGAGATGAGAGAGAATGAATTTGGAATGATAAATGATCCACAAGTTATCCCAAACTGTATTTTAAAAATATGCAACACAAGCACAAAAATATTTCAGATCACTGCAGGCTGGATGTAATTTTTAAGGTAATACTCAGAAATTCAGTCAAAGATGTTCATCATCAAAATTGGAAGCAGTAGCACAGTAGAAAGAGCACAGGCCTTAGTCAGATCTGGGTTTGAGTCCTGACTGCCACCTGACAGCTGTGTAACTTTGCTTAACCTCTCTGAGCCTCGGTTTTCTCATCTGTAAAATGAAGATGACAATACCTAGTTTACAAGGTTGCTGTGAGAATTAGGATAATGAATGTAAAGTTAAAAAATAATGATGGTTATTAGTACAATTTGTAACAGTATATAAAAGGGTTCAAATATCCAGGAACTGGTTACATAAGTATAATTTGATAATAAAACATGTAGTTACTAAAAAATGGGTTTTCAAACCCACCTTTAAAAAGAAAATACTACAGTATATATATAGAATTACTTACTCATCATCTGGAGTGAGCTGGACAGGTTCATTAGTAAACTGAGAATCAAAGTTGTCCAAACCAAATTCTCCAGAAATATTTGGTTTAAAGGGAGGTACCACCTGCTTTTGCTCCATCTGAAAAGATGTATTATGACAGCTCAAGTTTGCTTTCTTAGAAAAATTCCACCTCTATTTTTCTCCTCTGCTCTCAAATGTTTTGCTAGACATAGTTCTACACAGTAGAGCCAGTATTAACAATGATGGATATAATCTATGAATCTGAATGTGGATAAGGGCCTTAAAAATATTAAAAACTGCTGTTACATTACTATTTTAATTCTTTTGTTTTAAAGTTTTTTTTAAAAAAGCACTTTAGGAAGTTTTCAGTTATTTAAGCTGTGATTCACTAGTATTTCAACACTTTTAAGACAGTAGGGCCGGGGATTTAGCTCAGTGGTTTCACCACCTGCTGTGCAAGCAGAAGGACCCGAGTTTGATCCCCGGTATGACAGTAAAATTTGCCCTGAGGTAACAATAAACCTAACATTAGGGCCGGGGATTTAGCTCAGTGGTTTCGCCGCCTGCTGTGCAAGCACAAGGACCCGAGTTCAATCCCTGGTACCAAAAAAAAA